TAGTTGGATTTCATATGAAAATATTCTCGAAGACTGCTCATAATTCAATAAAAATTGAAAGTATCGGCTATTCGGACCTCCTTGTGCATCCTTACGCGCATTCCTCTCTTATCCAATAATCGTAGGGGATTTTCGAGTTGTCCTATCAAGTCGACAATGTCATCAGCGTTTTTCTTCAAATAGACGTCAACTCCTGGATGGACTGGCATCGTTTGCTCGGAATACCAAGAGTTTCGCGTCATCTTAACAACAAGTTATAGTCGTTGTACTGGGCCGCACCGCGACCGCGCTCGTCACGTCCTGTCCAACTCATCTCACTTTCAAAACCTTTGCTGTAGACAGCAGCCAACAAAAGGCAACGAAAAAACGTCGAATCAAATTATGTTTACGGGTATTCAAATGATCATGGCCAGCTAATACAATTCTTACTTCGAAGAAGCCATGATGCCCAGGATCCGCACAATCCAACAGAAGGCCTCCTTGCAAAAAATACCATTCAAGGAGTCCTCTTTCTTCAGCAGGCAAACTACTTACGCAGCCAACTCATTATTTACTGATATCAAACTTTTTTTCCTTTTTAGTTTTATTTCTGCTTTATAACTAGTTACCTTTAACTGATTGTTTCTTACTAATTATAATTTTTTTTGATGCTATGTTTCTAGTATTCGTTTTTGCTAATCAAGCTGACCTGGAATGTTATGGCGAACTGATGCAGTGGTGACGATGAATTCTGTGTGAGTAACCGATCGTAGAACATCCAGCATAAACCCTTTGTTGTTGGCAGCTTGTATAGAACATTCCGACAGCAATCAAAAGCTTGAATGTCCATTCCCTGGAAATAACCTTTTCATTTCCGGTTCATTTTGCTTTTCAGTTACTTGTAGCTCACATTTGTCACCATCCTTAAAGTGTTATATGAGAGGGCACATTGAGGATATTTTTCGTTACTGTGCCAAGCAAGAGACCACATTGGAAAGGAGGAGCAGCGAGAGGTAAGCCTAAGGGAAAGCTATCTGTTGGAGGTGCCAGATCATCTGCATCTGCATTTCGACTGCTCAGTCGCCTTGTCATCATCGCCCAATGTCGCGCAGACGGACTTTGAACCCTAGCATGCGCTTCCGATGTCTTCACAGGATACAAATCGGTTTCTACTTATGTAATTGTCGTCTTCCCCGCACGAATACGACTACAAATGGAACCAGTTAGTAAAACAGTTGAATGGTCACCTTACCTGATAGGTGCAGCTGTTGATCATACTCTGACACTTGTATTCCATTTGATCGATCGTTTGATTCCGAACATTCTGTGGCATGTACTGGAAGAGAGCAGTTTGGCCTGCAATCGATGAATGACAGAGAATTAGTCCTATTCGTGCTCCTTCAATAATTTTTTGGTATGAAAGGCAGAAGTGTAATGATTTTGGTGCTAAACAATCTTTTTTGTTATGCGCCTTCGCGTATGACATTAATCCAGGATTGTAGAAACAGTTGGATGCATGTTAGCCTATAAAACGAGGATTACACAGGCTAGCCGATGTACTAGTCAGCGCTCCGGCCAGTATAGAAGCTACTATCCGACCCACAGGATCAGAAACCTGATTGATCTGAAAGGGTGATGATCTGGCAGCGTACACTGGTATGGGATTGTTGGACATGTGGTGCTTCTCTTCACTTCGTTTCACGCTAGAAACAGTGCTAGAAATCCACCGATAGGAAAAAGTATGGCTCCAAAATCCACCCATATGCTTGCTAAGTTTTTAAGTGAATGTGATAATAATATGCCAACCTTGTTCCATATATCTCTGAGACATAGGCATGAAATCGGCTTCTTCCATCAACGATGGATTCGTCCACTGCAGAAGATACCTGCAAAGTTTGTAGATTCGTAAAAAAAACATCGAACTACTTTCGACATCACCCAACTTCTGACAATATCCGGAAATTAGCAGCGAAAACAATCAGTAGAAAACTCTGGGGGCCGGAGCATGCGCCATGCAACTCAGTTATGTCTGCCATGGTATGCCCAATAACTCATCCATCTCATCCATAAATCTATTTCACTTTACCGAGCTCATGTGTTATTTGCATTTCATCAGAATCTCCTGCTCATGAAGTGAGAGCTGGTCAGTCTTACTTTTCAATGTCGTTTCTTACTACTGGGTTGGCTCATGTTTCTGGAAAGTATAGGAACTCACCGCATTGGTTGGTCCTGTCTGATAGCTGCGTTGACGGAATTAACTCCGTCCTGTGAAAACGGCATTCGATTACAGATTACCAAAGCCGGCATTGCAAGAGGTGAACCGTCAACACTGTGATAGAAAGATATCAATGGACGTCCACATTTCAGAGGAAACTATCAAATCCGAAAAGGCAAAGAAACAGTGACAAAAAACTCGAAAATCAAATAGCAAGTAAATAAATAAATAAATAAACCAAGAATCAGACGTAATCGGCTTACGTTTTCACATACTGCTTCTCACTGCTCTCAGTCCCTCGGATAATGAAATAGATGGATTGTAGGATGAAAAGGACTGTACAGATAGTGAGAAGTGTCGTCAATATGATGCCATTGAGAAGCTGTTTGCACGTCCTCATACCTAAATGATACTTGGTGATAATAAGCGATAGTACACGTTATGGAGATGCTTCGAAACGCGGTCTTCAAAACGGTATGTTGGGACCGGTAATTTGCCAAAGAAGTATGCGTAGGAAGCAGGTATCGAAATTATTCAGTGCACAGGTAACAGGTACAGCTGTGAAGACTCGGGAAAAGAAACTGCCGCACTGATGCCTTGGGCACATTCCATCAGCCATACTGTTCTCAGTTATCGTACTCAACATTTTTTCAGAGGCTGGTCGCCTACAACCCGTCTTCCTCGAGATTTCCACTTACAGCTAAGGGTGAATGCTCGGCCATCCGAATATGTAGTGGACAGTCACGGTGTCTACGCGAGTTCGAAGTTTGTTTGAGGCCGAATGTTCCATAATCGCTCGGTACACTAATGGTATCATTCAGATTGAAAATTGCCACAAAATAGTATTTTGAAAAGAAAAAATACATAAACACATAAAATTCTTCACTCAAGAGGAGTATATTAAGTTCTCGGGGCCTGTTGCCATTGAATGGGGATCAAAAAAAGGAAGAGTGGTGATCAATCGAGTTTCAAACAGAAAGCTGCTACCAGGAATTAATTCGGGCTAACTCTGATAGGGAGTCATGAACTAGCTCACTAGAGTACATAACGATGAAGGCGACCTGAATAACCTACACTTCTCGAAATTGTTTTTTTGTATTTGAAAGGTTTGAATTACTTCTGATCAATGTAGCTAAGATTATAAATAAATAGCAAATACAAGTAAGTTGTACCAATGAAAAACCCTACTCTCTGTCTCGTTTCAGTGAGTCTGATGGCTCGCAGAGCGTTTGGGAGCGAGAGTTCTATTTCTCATATAAAACAGCAAGCTTCCAAGGACCAGTGGGAATCCAATCAGCGATAGTTTCTGAGGCCACTTTTGCTCTAGAATTACCTTCCGGCTAGGATAAATAGTACCCTGATCAGAGATAATCCCGGAAGTGGGTATTTCAAGAGGTAGTAATTAGGCGTTAGCAGCTATCCGCTTGGTAGATAGCCGCAAATCAAGCGGCACTGATCAGTAAGGCTGGCCGGCTTGGTAGCTATACTCTATATACCGATTCATCATTTGTCAATTTTACGGACTCGTCCAACTCTACGGTAGTTACAGTATACCAAAGAGCTAAGGAACTCAATTCAGTGACAATGCTGATTTTATTTTTAAAAAAAACTAGAGCACAAGATCGACAGGTGTTTTTTTGGAGAGAGGGTTGACGAATTTGTCCAAGGTATACCATGCCGGACCCAACCCACCCAATTTTGCGAGGCAATAAAAAAGTGCTTAACCAAAATTAACGCAAATTTCGTAGCCTGGACGGGCCGCTTTCCCCTCAGGTGAAGTCAGTAACCGTGAACACACAAAAATCGTAACAGGTTTTCAAGACCAGGCGTAGAAACCATGGTTAAAACATCTCCGGGAGCCGGCACCTACATTCGAACAAAATAAGATGTGATACAAGCAGAAAAATCGTGGATCCAGAAATGTCTCCCTACCCATAGGGCGAACACCAAAGTGGTCTCAGTCCCTTGTTGTCAAGCGCTTTCGATGTCTTTCGAGAAAACACAAAAGCAAACTCCAAATTGCAACACGAATAGTATAAGCTTGTTCATGCAGGATCGGGGTGGAAGGGATAAGAGAACAGCACTGGATATCAACTCAAAAATTTATATCTCTGTTCATAAAGTCATTTGCATATTGTATCCCTCATACGTCAAAGTTTTTCCACATGCCAAGTAGGTGAGCATTTGCGGCCGGTCGTACTGAGAAATTCGTTTTGTACAATAATCTAATTGACCTTCCACGTTCCCAATTGCTTGCAGTTAAAACGAGAATAGGAGCGCTTGAAAAGTCGAGAACAGAGCTAGCCAGTATGTACCTGGAACGAGCTTTTCCAGTCTCTCTACTATGCGAGATCAACAGCCCTTAAGTGTCAACGAAAAAATAACTTCTTAAAAGGTATTCGAAATGCTGAACTCTATTTGGATGCCTGGCGTATCCGATTCAGACAGACCGGGGAACATTCGCCGAGCTTTGCCTTCATTTTTCTATTTATTTCCAGTTATTTTGATATAAAATCCAAATGAGACCTAATCAGAAGAATTGATGGCTTCGATAGAATAGTTGGCTTCTTCTAATTCTAACTTTCCACTTGAAGCCAGTACTTTTAACAAAAAGTGCATGCCTAGGCCTTTCGTATGCTCTTACTTTTTTGAAAACAAGTGGAATCGGAAGTAGTAATGTGCTGGCTTTGGTATATAAACATGGGACATTAATAGCATACCGACAAGCCTTGCTGGTGCTTAATTTGCCGCCCTCTCCAAAGCGACTGACCCCCGCCAACGGCTAATCATCTCCGCTTGAGATTCCCACACTGAGACTTCACAATGAGCTCTATCAGGTAAGGTCTTCGCAATGAGCCGATGGATAGCTACTTCGCCACTGATTTATTCGAGCAAAATAAAATAGTGAGTCACAGCAGGTATACAATTACATGCCATAACATCAGTAACGGTTGAAACGAAGTAGGACACGTAGCGCAATAACACACACATGGCCCCTTCATCAAATTCCGCAGTATACCCTCTAGACCAACCAGGCCTTCCACCCACTTGAAAACGTTTTTTGGTACCGACCTCGTGTGGATCATGGCCGCTCAATTTATGGGCCACATACGCAAGCAACTCCACTACAATTCTGAATGGAAGTTGAACGCGGTGGCGCACTCCAGAAACGGGGTTGGTTGGCACCCAACCTTTCAACCCTCTTTTTTTATCACCGCTACCATATGCATACCATCCCTTTGTGCCCAAGTCAGAACATTACCGATCCCACTTATTCAACTGGTAATAGCCTAGATTTTGAGGAGTAAGGTGACCGTATATAAGCCTACGTACTACTAAACCACCAGCTAACGAAGTAAGCATATTATTCAGAATTGTGTTTTGACTGTAATACGCCAAATGCTTGCGGATAAGTTTACTTGGTATCCCCAAATACCTAGGTAATTGTAATATGAATGCACTTCTCGCTGAACTAAGCGTTATTCATCCAAAGCTGTTACTCATGAATTGCCAGTATGTCACATAGGTTAAAGTACGGACACCCTATGCTACCAGACACTAGCGTCACCTTAGGGTGTATGAGTTGGAGCGTAAGTCTGGGAAGCGAGCCATGTCAGAGAGCCGTCCTTCAAAAATCCCCAGTGAAAATGGAGACACCTATAAGTTCAACTTTCAATACAATTCAATATGTGGAACTTCTGCTTGTACCACTACGCCAGAAGAAAACAAAGGTAAAGGGTTCGTTGAAAAGAGGGAGTTTTTCTGCAGTTCGGGGAAAGACCTGAAATTCACTTACCATATTCGGCCCTCTATATATGGTCAAAAACTACTCCTAATCGGAATTTCTCACGGTACCCTTTACCATAAATCTACGGTGTAACGTTATAAATAATATTCTCACTTCAGACAGCCATATGCACTTATCGCCAGCTTGAGAAAGGACGTAATAGTAATGGGCTCCTGAACCTGATGAATGTAATGTCTGGCACCTTATTTGCCTAACCGGTTAGCCAGACAGGAATGTATGAGCAGTTTTTGAAGTGAACAAGGCTTTCTGGGCAACTCGGGAGCGGTAGTTATCAGGGAACATAATCACCCAGTCAGCAGCAAATGAAAAAGAGCACTTGCTGACCCTCACACGTTGTCAAACGACTAGTCTATGAAAACGTCAGAAAAATTGTCAAGGCCTGGGTAATTCCGTTCAACACCCGCTTCGCAACCGTACGCACCATTTTCAGCTTTTTAACACTACAATCCGGCGATGACACTCTAGTTAGCAAAGCTTTAAAAAAAACATCTCTATAAGAAATCCTAGGTGGTTAGAGAGAGTTAGAGTTCGAGGATAAACTTGAGATTCTAACTGTGAGAACTTCTCGATTGAGGAACGAACCAAGCTGAAGGATCTGAGGGGTATGATACCGGAACTGAGAGAACAATGAAAAGTTTGCATGAAGTGGAAAACATTTTGATAATCAGAAACCAGGAATGCAACTGGTAACGAGTAAGTAACCAGGCGATAATGCTTGAGATACATACAGGAGGCAGTCTTACAGGGACAACAAGTTATGGACAGAACACCTGGGTGCACGCATACAGGACTCGAACTCGTGCCTGTGCTTAACGAGCACGGTGCTCTTTATCCCTTGCCCTACCGAGAACACCTTGCTCTTTGCCTACAGGGGTGATTTTGTAAGTTTCTTTCATACTTTGACGACAATTTCTATTTTGACGTCTAACAAAGGATGAGATCTTATGCCGAGAGCAATGGAACGAATACATCTCATAGTGTCGGCGATAACTAATCAAGTGCAGTACGTTCCATGGTCAGAAGCTGAATTATGTATCTTGCCACGAAACAGGTGCAATTACGATAATCCCAGTGCGAAGCAATCAAGTAAATGCTGATGGAGCTGGCGAGTGGCTACTCGGCAGTTGGGCCAGATTGCCGCCAGTTGACCAGTTGAAGGGCAAAAGAGTTGACATAGGGTCGCTATAGAAACATGCCACACGTCTCGGACAATTGAGACGGAAAATTCTCGGCCACTGGTCAGCACCGCATTCGTGTGGAGGCGGAAGTACTTCGTTCTGAGGG